TTCTCAGCCACCGTAGAAACCGGTGACCCTGCGGCTCAGAGTCCAAGCCCCTACTGACTGAGCCACTGCTATGTTCTTTTCATGTTATAATAGTTAAAAAAAACAATTGTGGTAATAGTTTTATTTTTCTTACAATTTATCTTCTTTAACTGTGTTTATGTGTGCATCATACACACCAGGGCAAATTCCTCGTATGTGTAAACCTACTTGGCAATACACCTGATTCTTATCCTGTAAATGTACTACATTTATCTACCAAAATGTCGGCTTTTAAAATAAATAAACCCCTTTAGTAGAAACGTTATTTCCAGTAGGCTACAACGCTGGCCTGGTCCCCTCCCCTATAGGACATAATATGTCTCTCTGGGACAGGGCTCTGACAGGAGCAGCTCTCAGGTCAGTTTCCATCAATGACTGCTTCAGGAACATCTCGGGCACAACTGGTTTTCGAGTTGAGAGAACTGTGAAGCTGTTGCTGTCGCTGTTTACGGGTCAGGTACACGCCAAAGTTAGTATAACGGAACAGAGACAAGAAGTTAATGATAATGACGTAAAGCCGATTTATTTACGACGCTAACAGTAGAAGCTAACATGAATGTCTCTGAGATGTTGCTCTGACAGTGAAGATTAGCTGCAGGAGTTAGCTCTGCATTAGCCGCGCTGGTTCATTATCAGAACAAACTGTTTCAGTCTGCTTTTTTCTTAAAATTGCTGCAGAAATTCATGTGTATAAATGTAATCACAGAGGGTTAATCAGATTATCTTTTTTACCATTTTGGCTGGCTGACGTTTCCTGCTGCTGTTCTTCTTCCTGTAGAAATATCCGGCAAAACAGAAGCTTCTGAAGGTCTCTACTGCCCCCTGCTGGGGGACCTGCAAAACACATGTTCTGAAGAAATGATGCTACTGCAACGTCATGAACAGTGCACAAATGTATTTAAAATATTGTATTAATGTAGGCCTATTACTTAATTTGACTTATAACAAACCCTAACCCTTTCATAGTCGATTTTGGTTTCGCATCTCAATAACTTTCCTGTCATTTCAGATCCTGCCTTCCTCCCAGCTCTTGTGAAAAGCTCATTCCCCTCACATTTCCTCATGAGCCCCACAATATAGTATATTTCACCTCCCTCTCACTTGTCCTCTGCCAGATGTGTTTTGCCAAGCTTGCCTGTGTTTCAGTTTGTATTCGCAGTCATCTGTTCTGCCCGGTTTGGACGTTGCCTGCCTGATTTTGGACGTTGATTTTCCTGCCTGCCCCAATTATTAAATTTATTTTCCTGACTGCTGGATTTCCTGGTTTTGACCCTGCCTGTTGCTGCCTTGATTAAACTGAATTTTGGAACATTGTATCTGAGTTGTGATCTTCAAATCCGTACCTAACGTAACATAACCATTATCATCACCATAGCCATTTTCTAATACGTTGTATTTAAATTAAATGCAATTTGACCATGTGACAGCAGTTAGAAATATCTTAAGGTTAATTTACTAGTTTTTTTTAGAAATGCACCTCCCTCTGTACCTTAGCAAGGGTGGACTGAAGAAGAGTGCCAATGATGTGACAGACTAGTTAGTGGGCCTTTTTTTTTGTCAAGACACAATTTTACTGTATGTTACACATAATAACATAGCAATGATAGTCAATTCAGATTAAAGCATGAGGACACAGTGTGAAAGGGTTTCAATACATTTTAGCACATTTAAAAAAAAAAACTGAAATCTCTTAGTACACTCAGAATTCATTTAAAATGCTGTTTGAGTCACTCTAGCTGGCTTCACTCTGAAAGAGAAGCAGTTATTGACCCCTCTGACCACAAGTTTGAGAACTTTTTGGTTTCTAATCAATTTGCAATGTGTTCTTAAATCACGTTTTCTCTTAGTCATTATGGGTTATTGGGGATAGACTAATAGGAAAAACCTTCTATCAATTAAAAATAAAAACTGCAAGACAAAGAATGTGAAAATAATGAATGGGTTTGAATATATTTCCGATGCTGACTATTTGGTATTTTTAGTTGAATTAACCCATTTTCCTATGTTGTTTTATTTTTAATATTGTGAAGATTCAATACTTAGATTGTAGCGGTGTGGGGCATCAGTCATGCAGTGTATATGAAAAACAAATCAATCCAAATGAAAACACAATAGTGATGATTCCATTTTATTTGGTATGCATGTCTATGCAAATAATATCGTTAATCCTCTACCCATTGACTAACAACACAGATCTTTTTCACTTTGGTTTGTATTTCAAATCATTTTTGATACATGGAGATAAAACATTTGTATTTCTGAGTTACAAATTGAAAAAAATACCTTTCATTCACAGTTTGATGTTTGAGCACAATTTATAAAAGGTATCAAACATGTAGACAGACACTTTTTATTTCATATATGCAATGCTAAACATTTATATTTATAAAGGTTTATTTGATATAAGTCTACTAATTTGACAAGTATAGGTCCACATTTTTAAAGCTAAACTTAATTTGAAAAGATAATTTGTATAAACTTGTTTTCACCATCAAATATGAACCTTTAGTTCTGTACACATCTGCAGAGCAGCCCGCTGGACTGAAGAGAAAAGGAAATAGAATAGATGGATACATGTGTAACCATGGTTCATTAAAGGTCTCATGTCATGGCCATTTCTACTGATCATAATTCCATTGTTGAGGTCTACTAGAATAGATTTATATTGTGCAATTTGCCAAACTCACATTGGTTTCGCATACAGAATCTCTGTATAGTATGTGTATTCACCATGGTATTCACTCTCTGTCCTAAACGGCTTGTTGGAGCTCCGCCCCCCCTCCCTGTGAGCCCAGTTTGCTCTGATTGGTGAGACAGCGAGACACAGCGAGAAACCCAGCCC